GACATTTTCAGGACTGAGGTATATAAATGAATGAGAAATGTATAAATTCAATTTTGCTTAAAAGGAGCAGGAGGGGTTCCAAGATTAAGAGAACAAATGCTTGAAGCAAAACATGATTTGAGTTTTATTGAACCGAGAAGACTGAAAAAAATACATGGAACACTCAGAAAATCTTTATCAAGGCTTAGCTTAGCACTCCCAGGGCTCATTGTTAAGTTTATAAAACTCAGAACTGATGAGTTGTGTGCACTGCCTGGGTCTGAGTGGGCTTATGAGTCACCTCCAAGCCTGGAAGAATCTAAGCCTTAAAGCTGAAGGACCAAATAAGACTTTCTACGCTATCCCCCTCGGCTCCAAGCATACACCAACGAAGATTTTTACCCCCGATTATATTAGGAAATGCTGTCAATTAAAAAGATAATGCCAAACTCATCTAGAACAATCCAATCAACCATGTTTAAAAAGAAGGAAAGATTACATTTTCAAATGCCGGCATGCCATCACTAATACAGTGTCTAATGTAGCCAATATAGTTCAGGCAACATTGAAAATGAACCACTGGAAATACTAGGAATACAATTTCAAGAGGAAGCACAGCATTCTGTGTTTTTATGCACACAGTTCTGTAAATTATTTGCAGCTTAAGTATGCGATGTTCTTTTAAATTTTCCCCTGGGTATAACTTGAACAACTTTCTACAAGTGTTGATATGTCATATTTTCATCATCATTTAGTCCAAAATTACCTTGATTTAATTACCATGAGGTTGCTTTTTTGATACATGAGTTACTTAGAAATTGAATTAGGCCAGGCACAGTGGCTCCCACTTGTAATCCTGGCACTTTAGGAGGACAAGGCAGGAGGACTGATTGAGTCCAGGAGTTCAAGACCAGCCTAGGCAATATAATGACTTTGTCTCTAAAAAAAAATACAAAAAAATTAGCCGGGCCTGGTGACACAGGCCTATAGTTCCAGCTACTCTAGAGGCTGAGCTGGGAGACTTGTTTGAGCCTGGGAGGCAGAGGTTGCAGTGAGTAGAAATCTCACCACTGCACTTCATCCTGGGCAACATAGTGAGACCCTGTCTCAAAAAAAGAAATTAAACTATATTGCTTGACTTCCAAATATTTTTATGATTTCCTAGTTTTCTTTTGGTTATTGATATCTAACTTAATTCCACTCTGGACAAAAACAGTCTAAATAACTTCAATTCTTTAAATATTTTTTATATTGGCTTGGCTTTATGGCTCAGGAAATTGTCACTTTTGGTAACTATTCTATGTGCACTTGAACAACAGTATAGTATTTTATGATTGCTGAGTACAGAGCTCCATCAGTCTCAATGAGACATGTTTGCTAATTATGTTGCTCAGATCTTCTACACCTCTTGATTTTTTGGCTGTTTATCAGCTACTAAAAGAGGTATTTAAAAATTGCTCGAATTATGACAGTGAATTTGTTATTTATCCTTTTAATTCTATCAGTCTTTGCTTCATTTTGCATTTTAAGGCTACATTATTCATACATATTAATTGAGAATTGTCTTATCTTCCTAGTAAATGGACCCTTTTACATGAGAATTCTCTGTCTTTAGCAAAGTTACTGGCCTTCACGTCTACTTTAGCTGATGTATAAACATAGCTATGCCAGCCTTTCTTGATTTGTGTTTGCATGATACATCCTTTTCCATCATTTCACTTTTATTTTCTGTGTCCTTATGCTTCCAAGCAGCATTTAGTCAGGGTTTGGTTTATATGTGATGATTTCTATCTTGGATTGTAGATTTTCTATGTTTTAATTTTCAGCAGTTTTACTATGATGTTCTCATAAGTGACTTTCTTTGTGTTTATCTTGCTGCCTGTAGTGCTTGGGTTTGTAGTGCTGCTTGAGTCTGTGGCTTGATATATTTCACTAACTTTTTTAAAATTCTCATTTATTAACTCTTCAAATATTGCTTCACTATCATTATTTATCTCCTTCTTTTCTGGGACTCCAATTAGACATATGTTTGAACTTTTCATCGTGTCCCATATGTCTCTTATGCAAGCTTATCTGTGATTCCATTTTTTTTTTTTTTTTTTGAGACAGAGTCTCACTTTGTTGTCCAAGCTGGAGTGCAGTGGTGCAATCTCAGCTCACTGCAACTTTCATCCCCCCAGGGCTTAAGTGAGTCTCCCAAGTGGCTGAGACTATAGGCACACACCACCACGCCCAGCTAATTTTCATATTTTTAGTAGACATGGGATTTCCCCATGTTGGCCAGGTTTGTCTCCAACTCCTAACCTCAAGTGATCACCCACCTCGACCTCCCAAAGTGCTGGGATTACAGGTGTGAGCCACCATGTCTGGTCTGTGATTTCATTCTTCTCTTTCTCTGTGCATTAGTCTGTGTATTTGTGATTCATCTATCTACTAAGTCATTTATTATCTCTTCATCTGTGTCAAACCTACTTTTAAATTTGTCTGCTTAATTATTAATTTTGGATCATATGTTTTTCATTTCTATAATTTTTAATTGACTTTTTTGTATATATTCTTGTTCTCTGGTGAAATTCTCTAGCTTTTTACATATTTTCTTGAGCATATGTTCACCATTATTTTAAAACTCAGCTATGATTAATCAAATTATCTAGATCAGCTGTAGATCTATTACTATATTCTATTTTTTCTTGGTCTTGTCTCTTAATATGCCTGATAAATATTTACTGAAGGGTGCACATTGGAATAAAAACTATCATCTGTCTGGCTGAGTCTTCAACTTCCAAGAGGTAATAGAGCAAAGGCAGATACACTTAATCCAAACATGGACTGAGCTGTTTTCATGCAATCTGCCTTGGTAGCTCTCCAAAGCCTTCAAAAATGATGAGGTTTTTTCTTTTTTTTTTAAATCCTTTTTCTTTCTGGTTGTTCTCAAGGGATTCTAACCCTGCATAGGAGATCTCACCACTCCTGGGATCTTCAGCTTCTGTGCCTTTGTATATGCTGTTCCCTTGTCCCCTCATTCTTCAACATTCAACTGAAGTATTGCCTCCCGGTGAAGCCTTCTCTGACATCCCTTCTGGTCCCATGCCACCCAGGAGGCAGTAAGAGCTTCCTCCCCTCAGCTCCCTGTTCTTAACCATGTCAACACTGTTTTGAAATGATTTGCCAATGAAAAATTCCAGACCAGCAGCCCACAATGCCCTTTCCAAAGTGTGTTATGTATGGTATATATTATATGTTTTAGTCAAATTCATTGATAACAGCCAAGAACCATTGTTAATTATGACATCGCTTGAAAAATCTAAAGATCTGGACTCACTGGGCTTAAATTACTGCATGATAATAACTTGTTGGGTAATAACCGTTTCCCTTTCATGGAGCAGTTACTCTCCAGTTCTCAGTTCCCACCATTCTCCATAGTTGTACACAGTTGAATTACCTGCCAATGACTACTGACATTTGAGTTTCCAATCTGTGGTCTATGTGTATGCCTCCTTACCAGTCTGAGATACCATGTGAACACATGATAAGTGTTTTCATCTCTCTCCATGTACCTATGACATTCCTGGCATACCAGAGCATGTCAATGCATATTTGTAAACATATCTATACTAAAATGCTACCGAAGCATTCAGGGCAGTGAAACTATTCTATATACTTCTGTAATAGTGAATACAGGGCATCATGCATTTGTCAAAACCCACAGAACTGTACAACACAAAGAGTGAACACTAATGTAAACTATGGGCTTTAGTTAATATTTACATATCAATACTGGTTCATTAATTGCAACAAATATAACACACCACTGCAGATGTGAATAATAGGGGAAACTGTGAGGGTGGATACGGAAACTCTCTATATTTTCTGTGCAATTTTTCTATAATCTAAAACAACTCTAAAAATAAAGTATAATTGTAAAAATAAATAAATACAAATGCCACCTAACCAGAATGATCAAAGGGGTAACTAAATTCAGCAAAATAAGTTTCTCCCATGGGATACAGGTCAGGAGACGAGTGAAAACAATACAATGGATGCTCACCTATTCTATCACTTGGAAGAGCTGCCGTCTGGGGTTGCAGGTTGGGGGACAGGAGAGACACTAAAACACACTCAAGATGGTGGCTGGGCTGCCTTACACACTCGTGGTCAGGGGTGCTGGCAAGATAAGAGGAAGTTCAAATAAGAGCCTACAGAGGTAAACCAGGCCGACCACCAAATAGACACACAAAGGCCAGCAGGAGAGTATCTAGCAGAGCTCCCTGGGACCTTGAACTCACCCAGCTCCACTGTGCCATGGATAACTTTGCAGGTCTGGTGTTTTGTCTTATATTTTATATTCAGCATAATGGAGGACTTGGCCGGCATCCACTCTGCCATACACCCTAATGTTCTAATCCTCTTCTGCAACTGCCCTTGTCTTCTTATGCATCTGGTTACTAATTAAGTTTAAAAGGGGAAGAAAGAAGCAAAGACCTGTAGATGTAAGCCTCAACAGAGCAGAGAACAGAGCTGTTTTATTCGCTGACATGTTCCTAGTAGATATTTCATTGACAGTTGTTGAGTGAGCAAACAAATAATCTTACAGGATATGCAGCTTCCAATCACAAAGAAGCAGAGTGCGGGAATGGGGGCCTCCTGAATGTGGAGGGCATCGTATAAGCCACTCCTCAGTCAAACACGGGGGTGTTTCCAAGGACTCATCCAACATCACACATCTCTGCCACATGCCATCCCATCTCTGCAGGCTGCATGACTGCATGGCTGAGGGCATGTTCAGTGAGTCCCTGAGGGAGCCATGGGCACTGGGAGGCAACCCACTGCTCTTGCCTGTTCTGGCCATGGGAAAAGGATAGGGAGCTCAGCTCCATCTCTGCTATCGAGAGGCTCTTTGCACATGTCAAGCTAGACAGCAACGTGAACACCCTCAGAGTGGCCTCTCTCCATTGACAATAAAAGTGTGTTTTGCTTTTTGATGAATGGATTTGGTAAAATGTCTTCTCACTCTTTCCTAGACATCGCCTGGTGGTATTACCAGTATCAGAGAGGTAAAAAACAGTTTACACTAACTTGACTTGGGTCACATGACTGCAAAGGCAGAGCTTCTTAATCAAGTTCATGTTTTGTGATTAGTCTTCTCATTCACCAGCTTTCTGTGCCCCTTGTTAGCAAGCCTCACGTATATAGACAAGTTATAGGAAAAGCTTTGCTCCCCCTACAAAATGGTTATGTTTTCCTTTCACAGACATTTGTAAAAGCTAAGAGTCTGTATGCAGCTCAAGTGTAACAATTGCTTCAAACAAATGGCCTGAATTTCTGTGTTCTTTTTTCCCCATGGTCTTGACCTCCTAATCTAATCAACATTTACTGGGGCAGTTTTTCTTATTATTTTATCTCTTTTTACTTCATATTTATTTCCTATAATCAGCTTCAACTTCTTTATGCAACAAAGTGGCATGTGTTTAAATAAACAGTGAGGGGTAGACTGTGTGGTTGGTATAGATCAAAAACCAAAAACTCAACACCTGTTGCCCCAGGCAGGCAGCAAGAATGAATTCTGTGAGCCAGGGGTGAACAAGAGGGCATCCTAGAGGCTGCGGCTGCCCAGAGGTAACAGCCACTGCTCAGCTCTAGTGGGCTGCTGCCATGTCAGAATTTGAGACCAATGTGGTCAGATAATCCCATTTTCCAAGACAAATCAGACTTCCAAATTTGTACATGGATCTCTTTTCTTTAAACATGGACAACTAATTCCAAAATAATGAAGACACATTTTACAGGTCAAACAAGACATATCTGTGGGCCACATTCAGGCCAAGGATCACTATTTTGTAACCTCAAAGCTAGATGGGTAAGTATTAAATCCAAACTAGAGACACCATGAGAGAGGCACTATTGGGCAGTCAAGGGAGGAGATGGTCATGGTCACTATCCTTAGCCTGACCAAGAGGACACCTCACTGGGGAGAAGACCAAAGGTATGGGTCCTCCCACTGCTCACAGTCTGGATCTAACTGGCACACAGCCTCTTAGGAGCAGGGGTGCTGCAAGACTGGCTACAAGCCAATTTGCAATTTGGGCTTGAGAGAAGCAGAAGCCACTGTGGAGACCAGATATAATGAAAGGGGCCTGGACTGGCTGGATTCTAGGTCCAGCTTTATCACCCACTGCCCAATAATTTAGGATTCAGACAAAGCCAGTTAGTGACAAGGTTTAGATCTCCTATGCTAGAATACCTTAGCATGGGCTGGACATGTTGAAAAGACACAGAAACTCACTGAAAGTACAGTCATGAGCCGCATAACAATGTTTCCATTAACAACAGAACATACACGATGGCGGTCCCATAAGATTATAACAGAGAAGAAAAATTCCTGTCGCCTAGGTCCTGACCCTGTGTAGGCTCAGGCTAATGTGATGTTTGTGTCTTCATTTTTAACTAACAAAAGTTTAAAAGGTAAAAAAATAATAATAATAATTTTAAATAGATGAAAAGCTTATAAAATAAGAAAATAAAGAAAACTATTTTTGTGCAGCTAGGTAATGTGTATTTTAAGCTAAGTGTTATCACAAAAGAGTCCAAAAGTTTGAAAAAATCAATTAGTTTGTAAAATAAAGTGACAGGGAGCTAAGGTTAATTTATTACCGAACACTTTTATTAATTTAGTATATTAATTAAGTTAGTATAGCTCTATATTATTAATTAATTAATAATGAATATTAATTTAGCATAGGCCTAAGTGTACAGTATGTATAAAGTCTAAATCATGTTTGCTAATATCCTAGGCTTCACATTCACTCACCATCACTCACTGACTCACCCCGAGCAACTTCCAGTCCTGTAACTTCCGCTCATGGTAATTGCCCTCCTAGTTGTACCATCTTTTTATTTTTTGCACCATAGTTTTACTGGACCTTCTCTATATTTAGTATGTTTAGATACACAATTGCCTTCAGTATTCAGCACAGTAATATGCTGTGCGGGTTTATAGCCTGGGAACAGCAGGCCATATCATTCAGCCTAGGTGTGTAGTAGGCTACCCCATCTAGGTGTGTGTGTAAGTACACACCACAATGTGCACACAATGACAAAACTGCCTAACAACACATTTCTCAGAGCATACCCCTGTTGCTAAGTGACACGTGACTGAATAGGCAAAAGTGCAGTGACTGTGCATGTTTTTGAGAGACTCTAAAGCCTTCATTCCACACTCAGAAGAGTCTATGATCCCAAAACACTAAGGATCACTTAATCTAAATCACCTGCTATTTGATCTGAGAATTTCCTATGTAGCATCCTCTAGAGGTGGTGATTCTATCTCTCTTTGCCCTGAGTGACAGGTATTCATCACTGTGTGAGGCATTCAGTTAGAAAATCGCTTCTTAATATCACACAGGCAGGGCAGTGGTCCCCTCGCTTCCATCACACATAAGGTTATGGAGTAACAGCCATAAGAACGTTGAATGGCTTAAAGGTACTTTACAAACAGAAGGTGCTCTAATTTATTCTTCTTATATAATTATCACCACAGCATTACCTCTCAAGGTTAATTTTTATCTAAACCATCCAAACTCAAGTCTGACTTAGTAACTGGCTTATCATTATTTTTTATAGCAAAAATAATAACTAGCAGCATCTGGCATCGAAGACTTTGAACAAACCTCAGAGGAAACCGTCAAGGAGGCTCCCCATAGGTTCACGCTCCCTCCTGCACCCAGGGAACTGGGCTGCCGCAGCTGTAGAAAAGCTAAATCAGTGCTGTCCAGTCAAAAGTCATGATCCGTGAGAGTCCCAATCAGCACGTGTTTACAAAGGAATACATTAAAACTGAGACCGGAGCACAGCTCACATAAGTGAAGGACGGGATTATTTCATGGAGTTCTGTTTTAAAATATTTCATTAACATTTTGCTTATATACATGTGTATACTGGATTGTGGCATAAAGTATAGTTCTTACTATAAAATACAGTAAAAGAAAGAAAAAAGAAAGAGAGGGCCACTGGTTTAAACCCCTATCATCCACAGGCAGGCTACATCCCAGCATCTTGAGCCCACGAGAAGTAAATTTCCTTCCACAATTGATATTACTGAAGCCTGACACTTAGCCAATGATGAAAACGAAAAGCAAAACAATAGCTTGGCAGTCAGTATCCAAATATGCAGATATTACAGAACCTGTCTGATATGGAAATTGATCCTGCTGCCCAGACAGCAAACAACTCATTTTAGTAATAAAGTCAGTTCCTCCTTAATGAAGTGGGTTTAATAGTTGATATATCAATAATTACTTAGTGCATTTTTTATGAAGGTGCTGGGAAGCAAGTGCTGTTTCTGAGTCAGAAAGGGTCTCTCAAGCTCCTGCAAAGAAATTTCCCTGAGCTTGTGAGGAATTCAGTCACAGGAAGATCAAGGAATTAAGAGTACTGTAAAAAATCTTTTCATGCTTCCGACTAAGATAAATCTAACAGTATGCTGGATGTCTTCAAGAATACCTCATTTACTCAAAAAATACAATATTCCCATTTTGTTTATTTGCATTTTAATGTGATTTTTGCTTCATCTCCTTTCTTTACTCAAGCCACCTGGGCAGTAACCAGGGAATTCCTAAGGAGCAAAAGGAGGAATGTGAAAACCTCTGCAGCCCCTTCAGAAGTTTATTGTGAATCTATGCACAATTAAATAGATGAGGATTTTAAAAATAAAAATGCTTTTAGATCTAATGCTAGGAAATTTAAATAAACAATTTTTATGTTAAAATGGGTTAAAATAGATGCAAAATATTAAATATATAAGCATTCTGAATTAGACTTATGTGAATTTTTCTCCTTTTCTTTCTTTCTTTTTGAGAATAAGCCTTTTCATTTACATAGAAATGCTAGCTTTTAGATAATTGCTACTTATCTTGTTAGCTACAAACATAACAATAAGTAAAGGCTCTGTAAGAATTATGAATTCTGAGGAAATTGGCCACTTGTCTCTCTGTGGTGTAAACAGTATCTTATTTGTAATAAATCAACTGCCTTAGTCCCAGCAGGATAAGGTGATATGTATGGCCCCGCACAGGAGAAAGATGGCAATTAGGAATTGTTACCAAGTTACTGGAGCCTCACACAAACACCCATCACCTTTGGGGATATGTACAAGATACAAACTTAATTTGATGGATTCCTTTTATATTGGGATCAAAGTCTCAAAAGGGAAAGTGACAACTGCAGAGAAAATCTGGTGCCATGAAACCAGCACTGATTAGAGAAATGCACACGATTTCATGCACCTGCTCGCCTTGGTCTCCGACGTGGAAACAGCCTGTGCGTGCTGTGGATTGCCACGGGGTGAGACGTGGTCCGTGCATGTTCCCAGCAGCCGCTCAGCTCATCACTATTCTTGCCAGCCCAGATTTACAGTCGTTCAATATATGGATTTGGTAACATCTGCATGACAACGACAGACAGAGAAAGTTAGATGGCAATTGATTCTTGATTGGTGTACATTTATAGAAAGCATTCTAGCAGGGCCCAAAGGAAATCATTCACCTACCCTCTGTGATGGTAAAACGTTGAAAATTCCACTGATTTGAACTTTGTGATCCTTCAGTGGGAGAAGGGCAGATTTCTTAATTTAATTGACACTTTCTAAATAACTAATGCAATCTTACATTACATTATAGTCCATATGGGAGGCATATTTAAACTACTACTTACAACAACTCGTTTTAGAGCCCTTCAAATGGTTTATACAAATTAACTCCCATTTAAGATATTTTCCAAGTATGTAAGGATACCTAGCAGACATTATGAAATAATACACTATAAATACATTCAGATTTTTATCATTAATACCTAACATGGTGTAATTGGAACTTTCTACTTAATCATACTATCCATTCCTAATGGTGAGAGTTTACTGTTTTTTAAAATAATTTTGTTTCCTTTTGCTGTCTAGAGGATGGTTATCATTCTGCCTACTTACCTGTGTCTCTGGAATATTCAGAAGTTTCCATGGGAAACAATTTGAATATGCAAAGAAGTTATTTTTAAAGCAAGGAAAGTGTTTTCATATGGATTTATTTTGAGCACTCTGCCTTCGCCTCCACTGGGAGAGCATGTTTCTCTCCAATGCTGAAGCCCCCTCCCTATGTGGTGTCGGACACAGAGGCTGACAGGGCAGGGAAGTGGGGTTTAAGACAGGAAGGCCATTGGCATTGAGACCCCCACCCACAGCCCTAGATCCCGGGTTGTGACAACACCCTTTTGACAACCCAGATTGTTACCTAGCAAGAGCAACCCCGAACTCAACCGCTCCAATGCCATTTCCTCTGGTTCCAGATAAGATTGAAGATGAGCTGGAGATGACCATGGTTTGCCATCGGCCCGAGGGACTGGAGCAGCTCGAGGCCCAGACCAACTTCACCAAGAGGGAACTGCAGGTCCTTTATCGGGGCTTCAAAAATGTAAGACCAGAGCAGGCTCTGAGGGCCTGGGTGGGTTTCCCACGTGAGGCTAAGCTCTCCCCAATGCTAAGGGAACTCATAAGGCAGTTTCCCATATGTGAGGCTGTACAAGGAAGTCCAGCTCTATAAAGGGGACATGAGAGGGAGATCACCTGGTTAGAAAGAAGGCTCCAGGTGAGGATGGAGCAACCTCAGGAGATAGGAAACGGCCAACTGCCCAGAAACTTCACAGGGTGGCACAACCTCGGGGAATTCACCCTGGCCCAGGGTCCAGCCTTAGCCCTTAACATAGTAGTGTCTTCCAACTTGGTGGTGCCCCCACAATAATGGGATTTAGGCCTGCTGACTTATGCTAACCAGGCTCACCAAGACCCATGTGTAAGACAAATGTCAGTGTATTAATTTACCATGGGAAGTGGAACTGACAGTGGGACCAGACACTCCTCTCCCCTCCCTGGGACCTGCTCTCCTTATAAGCCATGTGGAAGCCAGCTTATAATCAAAAGTGGAGCCAGAGAACAGGAGGTTCATTGTTTAGTTGCTACTTCAAATACATTAATACGTTCCTGCACTCTCAGGCCAGTTTGAGAGCTCTCAGATGCAATCCTGGATATTAGTTTATTTTATTTATTTATTTATTTATTTTTGAAATGAAGTCTCTCTCTGTCACCAGGCTGGAGTGCAGTGGCTCCATCTCAGCTCACTGCAACCTCCACCTCCTGGGTTCAAGCAATTCTCCTGTCTCAGCCTCCCGAGTAGCTGGGATTACAGGCGTGTGCCACCACATCCAGCTAATCTTTGTATTTTTAGTAGAGATGGGTTTTCACCATGTTGGCCAGGATGGTCTCCATCTCTTGACCTCATGATCCACCCGCCTCAGCCTCCCAAAGTTCTGGGATTACAGGTGTGAGCCACCATGCCCGGCCATTTGTTTTTTAAGTTTAACTTTCAGAATACAATCTTATTCCCAAATCCCAGGGTGGTGTGGAATTGGGTAGGCTAGAGCAAGGTACACCTGGTCACCCTCCCTCCAGGTGCAGTCTGTAGGTAGAGCTGAGCTGGGTCAATTCCAAACTGACTATAGCCTCAATGTTCTCCAAAGTGCTGACCCACAGGGATTCCAGCCCCTCCTGGGAGTTATCTGACAGGTGCTGGGATGCCTCTTCCTTCCACACTAGCCTTGACTGCACATACAAAGTGCATGGTTTCCTGCCATTAGGGCTTCTTTCCTTCTGAGCTTGAAGAGGCAGCATTGGCAGCAGGCAGCCCAATTGGAGCAGGATCCTGTGGGAAAGTTTCCCAGGCAGGCACTAGGCTCAGAGAGAACAGCATCCAGAAAAGAGAAGAAATTGACATTACTTGGTATCTACCATGGACTCAGTACCACCTAACATACGTTCATAAAATACCCTTTGGGAAGGTATGGTTAGCCCCATTTTACAGGAAAGGATATTGAGGATCAGAGACTGGCTTGGCCAAAGTCACAAAGTTTAGTATTGGCTGAGCCAGGATTTAAACCCAGATTTTTCCAATCCTAAAGCGCCAACTCTCTCCACTTCACAGTGCCCATTCTCTGATAATGTCTCATCATTTTGCAAAGCAGCTTCAGTCCTGAGATGGGGCTACTTTGGAGAAGAGGAAAGGCACAGGTGCTTGCCCCATCCCTGCCCCTGGGGGTCATGAGGAAACCCAGACACCAAAGCTGGGCCCAGGCATCTCCTCCTAGTGTGGGCCCCAGATGCCTCCTGCTGACTCTCTCTCTTTCCCACAGGAGTGTCCCAGTGGTGTGGTCAACGAAGACACATTCAAGCAGATCTATGCTCAGTTTTTCCCTCACGGAGGTGAGTCTGACCTTGAAAACTATCTTGCCCAGCTCCCTGTCTGGTGAGCAGCCTCCCCTTCCTCCAAGTCCACTCTTCCTTATCATCTGCTTCCATCTCGAGGAAGAGCAGGACACCTCCCTCATCATGAGATGTGGGAGTCTGCAAAGCTTTAGCACGAAAGAACTCTCAAAACAAACCCACCCTGGAAAGGGAAGAAGGGCTGATAATGCAACATCACAAAGTCTCAGAACAGCTCTAGAAAGCAGGTATTGTAACCCCAGATGGGGTAACTGAGTTTCAGAGAGGATAAGCAATGTACTCAAGATTGCATAGTTAGTGGATGGCAGACCAAGACTGGATCCCATAACGGTCTGAAGCAGAGTTTTGCCATGCTGGCACCACCATTGTGCAGAGCACTTTCGATTCTTTTCCTTCAAAGAGCTCAGACAAGCTGGAATTTTGTAAAAGAACTTCAGTAAATACCGAAGACTATAAAAATAAACTAATCCAAAAAATGGTGGGGAGCATGAAGCTCTGCTTATTCAGCCTGGTTACAAGTATGCCAGGCCCACAGCAGCTGCTCTGGTGCCCTGCTCGACTCCTGTAGGAACTTGCTCTGTCCCCATGGGCCTGGGACCACACCAGTGGCTCCTTCTGTGGCCTCCGTGTGTCACATGTCACTTTGCATTCTGTCCCCAAGAGCTGTCTCCTGCAAGACACCTCCCTGGATCCTGACAAAATGGAAATCCAAGCATTCCACACATTTCCTGTGCCCTGTTTCTCCTGGGCCTTTTTGGCAGCAGACAGATGTCTTCCTAGTGTGTGGGGTCCCTACCTACATCAGGTGGGGAGGCAGTTTTGTCCCCTGCAGGTCCCAGAATTGCAGTTTTCTGAGTTCCATTGAGCCACTGTTTATTGAGTTCTCACTATATGCAAGGCACAGCTCTAGCTTAACATACTTTTTAAACAATTTCAAGAGATCTTTCTTTCATCCCATTGTAGAGAGGTAGGAGAGGGAAGCTCAGAGAGGTCATGTTTGATGCCCACAGTCACACAGCTTATGTAGTACAGCGGTATCCAAGCTCAAGTCTGTTTACTCTGAAGTAAGTGCTCATCCCAGGCACTGCACGGCTGCTCACAACATCGTCATGCAGTCACTGCATCATTCATACACTAAGATTCCATACATTGACAAGCAGGAGTATGGTTTTCTCACGATGGCTAGAGGGCGGAACAAGGGTTCATCTTACCTTTTGCTAGATCTCACTTCCCACCCACATCCAAAGAGTTGAGTCAACGGGCCCTACTCCATAATTTTCTCCTTTCCATCACCCCAGCACCACTCTCCTCTCTTTCTTGTCAAAGCCCTGTCTTGTTTGGAAGTTCCCCCTGTGTGGAATTCCTGCTGCCATCACCTCCCCTCCCTTTCTGCCTTGTAGATGCCAGCATGTATGCTCATTACCTCTTCAATGCCTTCGACACCACCCAGACAGGCTCCGTGAAGTTCGAGGTATGCTCATCTGGGGTCCACTCTGGGGGATCCCCTGGTTCTACATCACCTCCCCCTCTAAACCTCAAGGCATTGAGGGAAGGGTTGGACCATCAAAAGATCTCAGTCAAGACCAAAGACACATTTATCCATTCATAAGTATTTCCTGAACATGGGGAGAAGCAGCAGAAACTACCCCTGGCCTGCAGGAACTCAGAGGCTCGGGGGACTAATAACAACAGTGTATGAGCTCCTGGGGACACTGCTTCCCAGGTGGCAGACCCTGTACTTAAGGCTTCATGTTTATTAATTCATTTACTCTAATCCCCACAATAACCCTATAGGATAGGGTTCTATTATTTATTATCCTTTTACAGAAGAGGAGAGTAAGGCAAAGAGAGACACAGTAGTTTTCCCAAGGTCAAAGAGCGCACAAATGATAAAGGAGGGATTTGAATGGAGGCAGTGTGACCCTCAATACAGACTGTTCCTACAGTCCACATCCTCAGCCACTAGACCATATGGCCACTGGGATGATAGACAGACCATTGCACTGCTACTGCCATGGATAAAGCAATAACAGGGCTGGCTGTGTTGATCTGTGTCTCTCAGAGCTTCATTCTTCCTCAAGGGGGCATGTTGCCTAAAAACTGGGGCGGGATAGGGACGGAAGGTGGGAGCTCTTTACTGAGCATAGCTGCAACCTCCAGGCAGAGAAGGGGATGCAGGAGGCACCACTCTGAGAGTATCACAGTCTGACCCAAAGACACAGCTTCACCCTGCCTGATGGCTTGATGGTTAATGTCACTCCTGCCTTTTCCCCTTCTCAGGACTTTGTAACTGCTCTGTCGATTTTACTGAGAGGAACTGTCCATGAGAAACTAAGGTGGACATTTAATTTGTATGACATCAATAAGGATGGATATATAAACAAAGAGGTAAGTGAGCCGGGGCCAGGGGTGTGAGACAGCCCCAGTGAAGGTAACTAACCCAACAGAAAACAGCTCCAGACATGAGTATAGTGCTGTCTGAATGAGGCAGGCTCTGCTTTGGGGCTAACAGAGCTGGTTCCTGGCAAGATAAAGAAGGCCTCCTTCATTGCCCTACCCTGCTCTATTCCCAAGCACCCAGAAAAGATTAAACAAATTCATTCTCACTGGGTCACCTAGATCCAGTAGACATTACACAGTGGGTAAATATGACTTGTTTCAGTGGAAAGAGTTACTCTTCCATAGAGAACCCGCATTTGGGAAGGTTAGCAGCCACAAGTTAAAGCTGAAAGTTGAAATGGTGGAGTTGTAGGCAGCACCTAGAAGAGAAAAGAAATGTTTTTAAGGAAGAGGAACCTAGGTTGGGTCACATTGGCCTTAACCTATTTTGCCTACTAAGACAACCTCTGAGGGGGTAATGGAAGGTATGGCTGTCTTTAAAGCAATTATCAGAAATAATTTATGAATCTTCACCACTTTGCACTATTAGAACCTCAGAGGACATGTCTCTAGCCAGTGAAATACCCTCTGGTCTATCTCAAAACTCACTTTTGGTATCCACTGTATCCTGGCATCTCAGTGGCAGCTGGAATTTGGCTTCCTATAACACTCCACTTTCTGAGCTCCCATGTGCCAGGCACAGTGCCTGAAGGTAGAGATATCAGTGTTAATCTGCACCACAGCCATGAAAGCTTCTCTCCTTACAGAGAGAAGCTAAAGCTCAGAGAGTTTATCCAACTTTCATTTCTCATTCATTCAGTCGTGTTTTTAATTAACACACATTTGAAGGCTAATAAGCCTTCTAGGTTCTAGGTGCTGGAGGCAAAGAGGTGACGCAGTATAGAGAGATGGACAATAAACTGGTCAAGAAAGAATTAACAGGTAGAAGATATTTTGGCAGGGAAGGTTAGCAAAGGCCTCTCAAAGGAGGTGTTGTCATACTGAAACCAGTTATACAAAAAGCCAGGAGAAGTGTTCCAGGCAGAAGGAACAGTCACTAGAGAGGCTTTGAGACAAGATAGAGCTTCATATGTTTCAAAAACAGAAAGACTTCAGATGGCTGCCGATGAAGGTGTGAAGGCAAAGACCAGTGCGGGATGAGGCTGACAGGTCAGCAGAGTCAGATGGTGGAGGGCTAGGGTAAGGGGCCCATCCGTATTCCCCTGGGAGGCTGTTAGATGAACATGGTTTTCGAAAGACACAAAGGGCAAAAACAGACTCAAAGGGAATTAGAAAAACTGACTAGCTCTGTATCATTTAGAGAAATTATATTCACAGTTAAGAACCATTCCCAAATAAAATCATAGACCCAGGTGGTAGACTGGTGAATTCTAATACCAGTCCTACAAAAAAATTTTTAGAAAGTAGGGAAGCATGGAACATTTCCCAACTTGTTTTATAAATCCAAGAGTACCCTGATACCCAAACCAGAGGAGGAAAAAAGCTCTTATGAGAGAAAACAACTACAAACCATTCTCCCTCATGAGCACAGATACAAAAAGTTTTCACTAAATATTAGCAAATTCAATCCAGCAATACATAGAAAGGATGATACACTACACCTGTGTGAGTTTTTCCTAGGAATGCAAGGTTGGTTTAACATTCAGAAAGCAATCAGTATAATTCACTATATTTAAAGAAACCAAAGGGATATAGACTGGAAAGGAAGAATTAACACTGCCTTTATTTGTACATGGTATAATTGTATGACTAGAAAACCCTGAGAGTCTACAAACAAGCTGCCGAAAATAGTAAGTGAATTTAACAAAGTGAAGACATGAGTTCTATTTATGAAAAGTCACTTATAATTCTACATGCAACAATCAGAAAATTAAATTAAGAAAAAATATCAAAAAGCAGAAAATACTTTGAGAAAAATTCAACAAAATAGGTGCAAGACTCATAAACTGAAAATTATAAAATATTGCTGAGATAAAGTGAATAACTAAATAAATACAGAGATATATCAGGCTCATGGGTTGGAAGGCCCAATATAGTTAAGATGTAGATTCTCCAAATTTTATTTATAGGTTTAGTGCAATCTCAATAAAAATCCCAGCAGTTATGCTGTAGCACTTGATATGGGAATGCAAAAAAAAACCTAAAATAACCAAAACAATTGCAAAAAGAACAAAGTTGAAGAACTAAACCTACCTTACTTCAAGACTTAGTGAAAAGGTGCAGTAGTCAAGATGGCAGGGAATTGGCATAAGGATGGACATATAGATCAATGGATCAAAATAGAGAGTCAAAAAAAACTAGAAGTAGAGCTACCAGATGATCCAACAATCCCACTGCTGGGTATATAGCCAAAATAAAGAAAATCAGTGTATCAAAGAGATATCTGCACTCATATGTTTGTTGCAGATCCACTTATAATAGCCAAGATTTGGAAGCAACCTATGTGTTCATCAACAGATGAACAGATAAGGAAAATGTGGTACTTATACACAATGGAGTACTATTCATCCATAAAATAGAATGAGATTTAGTCATCTACAACAATGTGGATGGAACCAGAGGTCATTATGTTAAATGAAATAAACCAGGCACAGAAATACAAACATCCCAATGTCTCTTATATTTTTGATATCTAAAATTCAAAACAATATGAAGATAGAGGGTAGAAGGATGGTTACCAGAGGCTGGGAAGGATAATAGGGGGACTGTGGGGGAAGCTGGGATAGTTAATGGGTGCAAAAAAATAGAATGAATGAATAAGGCCTGGTATTTGATAGCACAGCAAGGTGACTGTAGTCAATAATAACTTAATTGCACATTTTAACTAAAAGAGTATATTGGTTTGTTTGTAACACAAGGATAAATGCTTGAAGAGATGGATGCCCATTTCTCATGATGTGATTATTACACATTGCATGCTTGTATCCAAACTTGTCATATATCCCATGAATATATACACCTACTATGTGCCCACAAAAATTAAAAATTAAAAAAATTTTTTTAAATAGAGATAGGCCCACCCATATGTCAATGCAACAGTTGCCAGAAAGAGTCAATAATAATGGAACTGGAGGTTATTATTTTAAGCAAAATAAACCAGGCACAGAAAGACAAACATGCCATGTTCTCTCTTATCTGTGGGATCAAAAAATCAGAACGATATGATATAAAACAATAAATTAATATTATATTAATAATTAATAATATATATCTTTGAATTAATTTATTAATATAAAATAATATCAAATTTATAAAATGAGTTTAGAACATTTCAAAGTGGAAAGAACTGTGCTCTCAACAAGTGGTTTTGTAACAGCTGTATATCCATTTGGAAACAAAAATGAACCTTAACCTTAACCTCATGCCAAACATAAAAATCAACTTGGACTGCATTATAGACTTAAATATTAAAACAAAAGCTGTTTCCTTGAGGAATACATAGGAGAAACAGTCTCACAACTTTGGAGTAGGAAAGAATAAAGAATCATTTTTAAAGTAGATAAATTTGAATTTATCAAAGTTAAAAATTTCTATGCCTTAAAAGACATCTTTAAGAAAATGGGAATGCAAGCCATGGACTTGGAAAAACTGTTAGCAAATTATATACTAGACATATAAAGATACCAAGATACCAATCCAATATAAAGACTGGTATCCAAAATATATAAGGAACATTTACATTTTAATACAAAGATAAACAATTTAATTGAAAATAGGTAAAAGATTTGAAGAGATACTTAAGAAAAGAAGATATGTGAATGGCCAGTAAGCCCATGAAAGTTTGCTCCAATCACTGACCTTCAAAGAAATGCAAATTATAACTATAATGAAATATAATTGCACAGAATGGCCTCAATTAAAAAGACTGACAATACCAAGCACTGGCAAAGATGTGGAGCAATAGAAACTCTCATATGTAGCTGGCAGAAATGTAAATGATGCAAACACTTTGGAAAACACTTTGGCATCTTTGATAAAGCTCAACACACTTAACATACAACCCAGAAATCCCATTCCGGTCAGGATGGTGGCTCACACCTGTAATCCCAGCACTTTGGGAGGCTTAGGCAGGTGGATCATTTGAGCTCAGGAGTTCAAGACCAGCCTAGGCAACATGGTAAGACCCTGTCGTTACTAAAAATACAACAAAAGAAAAAGAAAAAGTCAGACGTATTAGAAAAAAAAGAAAAAGAAAAAGTCAGACGTATTGGTGAGTACCTGTGGTCCCAGCTACTCAGGAGTCCAAGGTAGGAGAATTGCTTAACCTTGGGGAGTGAAGGTTATAGTGAGCTGAGATCGCCCCACAGCACTCCAGCCTGGGTGACAGAGCAAGACCCTGTCTCAAAAAAAAGAAAAGAAAGAAAAGAAGTATTAACCTCCCAAAAATAAAAATATATGATTCCATGAAGACCTGTACAAAGATGTTCATAGCAGCTTTATTCATAGTAATCCCAAAACTTAAATGACCCAAATGTCTGTCAACAGGATAATGGGTAAATACATCATCATTTATTCATTCAATGGAATATTACTCAGCAGTAAAAGGAAATGATACAGTTCCATGCAGCAATGTGCATGAAGCTCATAAACCTCATGCTGAGTGAATGAAGCCAGACTCAAAAGAGTGTTTATACTGTTTGACTCTATTTACATGAGATTTTAGAAAATGCAAATTAATCTATAGTAACAGAAATTAGATCTGTGATGGCCTAGTGACAAAGGTTGAGAGGCACTCATTGCAAAGAAGTATGAAGGAATGTCTTTTGGTTACAAAAATGTTCTGTATCTTGAGTGTGGTGGAGGTTACATGGGTAGATATACTTGTCAAAATCCATCAAACAGTACAGTTAAAATGGGCGAATTTGTTATAAATAAATTTGATTTTTTTTTAACTTGGTGTAAGCAGGAAGTGCCAAACTGATAGAAGATATTTAAAAAAAAAAATGTGTTGAAGGAGAAAATCCTGTGAAATAAAGGAGATAAGAGAA